AAAAAAAAAAAAAAAAAAAGGGGAATGGAACTACGTCCGCATCCCAAGGACTGTTGTAACTCAATTACTACTAGGGGTCATTTTTTATGCATTGCTACGTAGAGTGTCTGTTATTTAGAATACTGTGGCGATCAACTGAGGAGGGAGTCGTTTGACGAAACTAGTTTTGTGAATCGCTATGTAAATTTAATAGTGTGTTGAAAGTGAAAACAAATTAGTTCTTTTTCCTTTTGTTTACTGAAATAATGTTAAGTAACGCTTTCTTGGCTTCGGCAAACAATATTTCACAGAATTGATCCCAGTTTGTTTTTCAGTTTAATTTATGTGATTAAGTTGGCAAATTACGGGTTCAGGAAGGACAGATTTTCACCAAAACCGGCAGACTAACAATTTGGGGAACTGAAAATCCACTGCCAATTTCAGTATTCACCTATTACTCTTCCTAGATAGAACTCTCCTCCTCCTGGGAAGTTAGCCAGCCGATATTCCGTAGGAAAGAATGACGATAAAGTGGGCAACAAAACTAAGAAAGAGAACGAGAAAGAAGGATCGAAATAGATTTGCCGAAAAAGGTCTAATTTTTGGCTCAAGCGCACAACAGGTACTAAAAACAAAAACGAGATTGATTCGTTTACATCCCAAAAATATTTCCCATTTCCCATTCCATTTCGATTCTATGCTAATTTGTGGAAAACCAGTCCAACTACTAAGATTCTGTATTGCAAGGGTTAAACTTTGTTTACCGTAATCGCAGTCAGGAACATGGCAGGATCTTATGTTCAGTTTATAATTTTAATGCGTAATTTTGGTAAATTTTAATCTGGTATGTTAGTCCTGATAATTTGGCAAAGGCATATAGCTATTTGTTTTAGTCTTGGCCTAAGATTTCATTGTTTGCATACCATCTTGAGTACGTGCATATTTTTGGGTAAATATCGTTCCTACATCTGGCTCAACAAACTACTTAAAAATCCCCTCACAGAATAAAATATTGTACAACAAAGAAACAGAAAATACGTTCGCCGGTAGTCGAACCTCGTTCTTCTGCACGTGCAAGCAACTCCTTGAACACTTCACTACTGTGCCACTCAGTTTTTGGCGAAGTGAATTTGTTTTTTTAAAACCATTTTTCTCTGCCATAGACGCTGTTTGAAAAAAATAGCTTAAGCTCGTATATCAAAGCTATTTCGCATTATTATTTTGGGTTCAAAGGACCGATCGTTGTAGAAAATCAATCAAACAAGCTGTACTGAATTTAGTGGAGAATTGAGAAATAAACAGAACCCCGCACTCGAAGGGATTGATGAGAAGTACGGTCGATTTAATTAGCAAAGAAGAAATGGAATATAAACGTGGGTGACTTCTGAATCGAACCTCCTATTCTGGAGACTAGACGTTGCCAATTTCATGCTTTTGCTGGTCCCGTAAACAGGGCCCGCGACACAAATTTTAAAAACAAAATTACACAATTTCGGACACAAAATACCAAGACGGTTTACGCAAGCAGATACAACAAAGTCCACGCACTTATGATCTATTTGCCTAGTTTTTAACCTTTTCCCCAACCTTTCTGGTTCGAATGACCATAGTGTCCCTTGCAAATTTGCGCAAGCAACCCGACTGGCACTCGCCCGTTAGTATGCCTCGCGTGTCTCCCTCGCGCGCGCCCGTTCTCTACGCAGCTAGTGACGTCACAATGGCAGTGATGAATCGGTCACAGACAAACACATGAAAACAATAGAGGTGGCCCCTCCCTCCAGGTCATTCCTTTTTCAATATTTCACTGAAAAATAAACCTATCTAAATAGCTTTATAAAGAATATTCTTAATAAAAAGATATGGTTGGTTTTCGCTCCATCACTTCCCTACCCCACAGTACTTTTTGCATCCGTCTAAGAAATTGCTCCCGCCGTCGTGATCAGCTTGCGCATGGAGGAAGAACAATCAATGTATCGTTTGAAGAGTTGAAAGGAAAAGACACTTTCTTTGCGCGTGAATTGTCAAGGCAGAAAGGCCTAGAAAAACTCTGCGAGATATTTGAAAGCTAATATAAATTTTGCGTATTGTACGATCAATATACGACAATCTGACAATCTGGTCAATTCGACGATTCATGCAACGGTTCCATCATGATAAAAAAATAATCATGTAAAGCGCGTCGGTTGTTTGTTAATATACTATACTAAACATCTTCGAAAATAAGAAAAGTATTATTTAGACTTTAAGAGGCGGTTCGTGTAAGAACCGACCACTCGAATTTCCGCGGAAAACAGAATTCCTTCATTTTTTTTCTGCGACATAATTAGTCCATTCCATTAACAAAAATCGAATTTGTTTGGCTCATAGTGCTTTTTTTAGTGCTTTTTTTAAAAAAATTTGGCCGGCGATTTGCCTGGACGGTCCAAAGCTGTCATGATCGTCTTTTTGAAGGTCAAATTTAAGCGTTTTGTTCAAGGCTCGCAAAAATTTCGCCTTTATCTAAATAGCATAAAACAAAAGTATGATTTTAATTCATGCTTCCTTTATTCTAAAAAGGCAAAATTTTAAATTCTGACTTCAAAAAAAAGGAGTTATGATGTTTTGAAAATACCACGTAAAGAGTCCTTGAATAAAATGCGCGGTTATCCTAGTTTTAAAATGAGCTTTTTTCGAAAGTCTGTCGTTATCTGGAGTCTTGGTCACTATCGCTGTTCAGTAAAAGGGCTAGTGTATCCAAATCAAGAAAAACATTTTTGGGCACTGTTGATTCCGAAGCACAAGAGTTCGACAAAGTTGGGTAATATTTCACTGTAATCGTGCGTATGACGTAATTTAAGCAGTTTGGTGATTGCGAACTTTCCCACTGAAAATCAAACCGAGAGAGCAAATATATTAAAAAGTAGCTTTTATTGTTCAAGATGACCTGTGAATAACTAACAACTTGCCAAATGGTACACGAAAATAGAAGTTGTGAAGTTTAATAGCCGAAATTATCGATTCCGGCGTAAGTTGTCGTCTATTATAAGTTTACTTCTAAAAAGCTGTTTACAAAAGTTCATTCAATTGAATTGGTCGTAGGTTTTCATGATCAACAAAGAAAGGAAAAGCTTTTCATTCAGGTTAAGCATATAAGTATTTGACGAAAGAGAGTTCTGTTAAAAAGAATTGCACATTTTATTAAAAACACTCGGTAGAAAGCAGCCGAAATTCAAATCATCTGAAGAGTGTTACTTTCCCGTCACGCTGGCTACGCGTGAATGTCAAGTTATTTAGCTTGTCACGCGTACGTACTTTTTTAATACGGTTGACAAAAAACATGTTCTTTTCTAATTCGACTTTTCAAAAAGGATAAAGGTCATAAAACGTCTTTTCAAGTTTTTGAAAAATAACTGTTTCCACGATTTTTTTTAGGTTCGCTACAAGATTTTTTTTCTATCGCGAGAACTAAAAGGAATTTCAAAGTATTTCAACATGCCCTTGAGCATGGCAACGCTAAATGTTTCAAGTTTCTTCTCGTGTGAAAGGTCACATAAACAGTATGAATCATAGCAGATAGGATGCTTAGGACCAAGGTGGGTGGCCACCTCTTCCAGGACGGCTCGTCTCTCCTGCTCTTCCTCTTCTGCCTGTACGTCTTCACTGAGCGCTTTTCGATGTGCTTTGCTTCTTCGCGAAGCCGCTAGCCTCGAAAAAAATCCCTGTACTTGACCATTTGTGAGCCAATATTTCCTTTCAAACATTCGACAACTATCTGGGATTCCTGCAGTTCGCATATCAGCTGCCACTTTTGCGGGATCTGCCTTGATGCCAGTTCTTTCTCCAAGGTCAAATTTCGTTGTTAGGTATTGTTTAACCTCGGTAGGAAAACGCACAGCTTCGTTTCGGGGATTGTGTAGAGCCCATCCAGTCTTTAAGTCACTGCACTGTAGGGATCTGCCTTTTTCATTCTTTTCGTGAAGCTGCTCTCCAACTACTACAGGCACGCTTCTGTTTTCTTCGTCCTTATCAACAGTACGAAATTTCTCCGCCCAGTCTCTACTGAGCTTGTCATACACCGTATCATTGTACAGACATCATTGACTCGAAGAGCTCCTTCCCCGTTACCTGGGGCAATTACATTACATACGTGCAAGCAGTCCTCTTTAGCCTTTTTTACTACTTTCAACTGTTCCCCATCGCTTAAGTTTTGCAATGGAGTTTTTAGCTGATATTTAAGGGGCTCGCGTTCTACTTGTTCTTGTGTAACAAGACTCGCAATTGTATCCATCGCCTCGTTATACCTGCCGACTGCATCGGTTACCACGAGTGAAGTAAAAGAGGCCTCCTCTGACCCTGGAGTCCAGCATGGTGTTGTGGGATTCCAGAGAGCTGGCGTTGATTGCATGGTCTTAAAGAAATGGAGTCGAAGTGACCATGCGACCGATGGCTCCCACAGCAGCCTCTTTAGCAGGTCTGCGGAGAATAGAAATGGAAAGACTGCTACTAAGTTGCCTTGCGATAGGATAACCTGACAGGACAACCGTGTGTATTTTTATAAAACAACAACCAAACGACTACCCTCCCGACAGTACCTTTGAAGGAGCATATCTCCCTCAGTTTCTTCAGGGTATAGCCAGTCTGATTTCCGATCTAATTCTTCACTGTGTTTCTTTCTGCACGTTGTGCAAATAGCTAGTAACAAAATGAAACGAAAAATAGTTTTGCAACAAGGAAAGACTTGTTAAAAAATACTAGATTTACTACTAAGTTGATAGAAGAAGCTATATCTTTTTAGTAAAATCCAGCTAGTGGTCTATTATGAATGCTGCGTTCTGATTGGTTGAGCTACTACTAGGTTATATGTTATGGCCCACTAATAGCGAAAAGCGCCGGCTTTTTGGCGGCAAAAAAGAAATGATTTAAGTCTAGCTTCACGTAGCTAATTTTTTTTTTTATTCTCGATATTTTTGACCAACTAGTTGGATTTTACTAAAACAATTATTCCTCTCGCCCTCATGGCCTCTGTCTTGGAAATTATATTATGTAGGCTATAGATCATCGACCAGATTTATGGATGACGCACAACAAAGAACTATTTCTAATAAACTACAAAAACCAAATTATGATCATTTGATATGTTATTTGTTTGGAAATGATTTTCTGGCTGCAGAATACCATCAAATACGGAATCGACCGTTTATCATTCAGAAAGTATATAGAATGGGACTTCCCCTCAGTCTATAGCTCGCTTGTAATTAATTAGATTACGAACGAAAGTGTTTGGTTGAAGTGTGAAGGAAGACAAAACCTTTTAATTCTGATATGTTAATTGTAAAATGAAAGAATTAAATAGTTATAGTTGCTAGTCTGATAGTACTTACGCGAGCCAACGGGAACGGCTTCTCCAAAGATATTTTTTATTTCGCTTGAAGTCTTGAAATTAATAACATGTGTTACGGCTATTAACATTTTCTTCCCGTGGTGTTTTGGATACTGGCAGGTCTTTGGAGCTTGCCAGTATTTTCCCAAAGTGTAGCGAGGACTGGACAAACCGTCGTATTCTTGATCTGATCATCAGTGAGTTCTACAGACCTGCCCTTGCCAGTATCAGATCCATTTCACAAACATTTTCCCTTGAGAGGTGGTGATTCATAAGGTGTGAACTGATGTCAGCGTTGCAACTATTCAAGCACACAAAATCTACACATCCTCGATTAATTCCACATTTTCCACCTGTTATTGCCGAAAAAGAACAAGATGCAGCCATTCTATCTGCGAAGGTTATCCCGGCAAAATGTAAATACGCTCTTCGTTTTGTTGCAAATTTGCATACGAAATTAAATTAAGTGAACAACGCCAGAAAATATTAACTTAAATTAAATAAAAAACTTGAAGAAACAGTAAACCAGCAAAACAGTTTTATTCTTAAAAGTAGCCAGTTTTTTTGTACTTTGTTTATTCTAGCTCGTTAAGCCTGACAAGTAGTTTAAGTTTCGATAAAATAACATTCAACATGTTTTGCACTGCAAACTGAAATCTGAAATTGACATCCTCAGACACAACATAAATTATGTCGTCTGCACACAAAAACTTGTGGCTAGAAAATTCGGTACATTTTGGTAAACTATTTCTTTGCTGAATCGTGTCATAACTTTTGAGGTGGTAATTACAGAGTAAATCTATTCATAATGTATTTTAACTTTTTTACCGTTCTGGCCCCTTTATTTCAACGAAACTTCTTAACTGTTTAGCCACAACTTGACATAGCAACATTCACGGGAGCTGCTACTTTTTTTTTGTAATATCATCCCAGTTTAAGGATAATATTAAGATATTCACTGTTTATCCCCAGCATTAAGTTAGTTTTGAAAATAGTTACTCCCTGACAATGATGATTTTTAGTTTTATTGTAGGAAAGTTCGGAATCAGGAAAATGCGTAAATTACGTCATGTGCACAATTACAGTAGAATATTACCCAACTTTATCGAACTCTTGTGCTTCGAAATCAACAGTGCCCAAAAATGTTTTTCTTGATTTCAGTACACTAGCCCTAGTATAGTACTGAACAGGGATGGTGACCAAGACTCCGGATAACGTCAGACTTTTGAAAAAAGCTCATTTCAAAACTAGGATAACCGCGCATTTTATTCAAGGACTCTTTACGTGGTATTTTCAAAACATCATAACTCCTTTTTTTGAAGTCAGAATTTAAATATTTTGCCTTTTTTGAATAAAGGAAGCATGAATTAAAATCATACTTTTGCTTTATGCTATTTGGATAAAAGCGAAATTTTTGCGAGCCTTGAACAAAACGCTTAAATTTGACCTTCAAAAAGACGATCATGACAGCTTTGGACCGTCCAGGCAAATCGCCGGCCAAATTTTTTTTAACAAGCACTATGAGCCAAACAAATTCGATTTTTGTTAATGGAATGGACTAATTTTGTCGCAGAAAAAAAATGAAGGAATTCTGTTTTCCGCGGAAATTCGAGTGGTCGGTTCTTACACGGACCGCCTCTTAATTATAGTTCTATCATTGAGATTAATCGGATCAATGTAATGTTTTTTGCAATAATTACTGAACTAGCGGCTAAGAGCGATTTGCGTGGGGTGCCTTATGCGCTAGTTTGATCAGATTATTACAGATTTCCTATAAATATGGTATTTGCAGCTTATTTACTGGAAACAGCAATTTTGGTGTTGTCCGGTTGGGCCATTTGCACCCTATTTTTAATCCCCACCGTGGGGTTTTGGTATGAACGCCCGGCCCCACCATGGAGAGAATTTGTAGCTTTTCCAAAACAAAATGACAAATGTCCGACAAATACGCAAAGGGGGATGTGCACGCTTGGAATGGACTGAGCCATACTTCTGTGTCCTGCTTTTGTGCGGTCGTCGCGAGTCAAACAAATTCGCCGATCAAATTCGGATCGAGCTGCAGAAAACTTACACGAACACGACGGGTGCAAGCACTCGCTTTTTCATAGTGCAAGACCTTAGTTGACGTGTCATTTCCGCCCTGGCACCCGTCGTGTAAGTGCCAATTGTCATAATGCAAATTAGTTGGTAAGCGCGACAGTGGTCACAGGCACTGGACGAAAGCCGGACGTGTCTCGAAGTCCGGCACAAATGGCTCGATTTGATGGGGAAATTATGGATCTTTTTTCGAGCTGATCTTCCAGAGAGGAAGAAGAGGTTTCCCTCTTGGGCTGGAGCTGAAAAGTTTGCAGTGGATTTGAATTTCGGCGAAACAAACGGCATTCTTGTTGCGACTGGTCCAGGACCCCGACAGATCGAAGTGACCAGCCTTCACTTCGTTCTATGAAAGGAGTAACAGTGGTTACGCAATAAAGCCAAAAAAACGGTAAAACGACAAACAGAAACCAAAACGCAGTGGAATAGATTGCAGGTAAGACTTTTTTATTCATTTCATCGAAGAAAAAGTAAGGTTTAGCGTTATTTAGCGTTCGCAGATCTCAGTAATATATTTCTCATACAAAGTCTCTTATATTTTCAACGGTCGCCTGTAACGCGACACCGGCTCGTCACCAATGTTATGTAAATTACATTACACCCTTCCCTCGCAACGTGAGTTTGGGCCGCCTGTGAGAAAACACGCTTAATCAAGCATAGTATGGTGACTGATACACAAGCAAGGAGAATAATCACAGTCTGAAATATTGATCAGGTAAGTTTTCTTTTAATTATGTTAACGCATTGTTTCTTTCCGGCCACAATACAGCTAGCAAAAGGCAACGTTCTTATGACTCGAGATACAATCGACCTTGCTAAGCCACTCTCCAACAAAATACTTTGTTCGACCCCGGGTTGTGACACGAAACTTGTGTCTTCCTGTGCCTCGTTCAATCCATTGGATATATAAAAAAAGGCAGTAAGGCATTCGTGTACCATTCCCACCGATTGCATTAATTCCACTAGCGAGGATTCGGACATGATCGTACAAAGGTTACCATGGCTCAAGAAAAATGGAAAAAATTATTTGAAAATGTTATCAATGGATTGTGTTTGGCCTATACCTAAAAACAAATTAAAGGGAAAAAAAACTAAAAAAAAATCAACAAGAACTGAATTGCAGTAGAGTCGAACCTCTCTGTATTATGGACTGTTTCCAATGTCCCGACAAAATTCCCACATATTTTCATTAAAAAACCCTCTATAATACGGACTCTCTCTAACACGGACTGAACGGACACTAAATCTCGGCCCCAGAGAGTAAATTCATATAAACTTAACCTCTTTATTACGGACACTGCGGTGATCAGGTGAATCCCGAACCCGATCAAGTGAATCTGCACAGGGAAAATCCCGACTAGTCTGATGAGCTATGCAAGGTGATTTAGAGCCCAGTCGCTGTGAAACAACGATTCGCGAAAGGTGCACAGAGGGGCATAACCGACTTTTTGAAGGCTTCAATAACCACAGATAGCATAAAGATCTTTTCTATTAAATTTTGCACTCTAGTTACTGTTTACTGCACTTGCAAAATAGCGAAAGACGCTTTCAGAATTGTGCTTTACGTTACAACTTTTTACATGCAGCTTTGCGCTGTAGCTTGTTTCGTTTTAAAACAGTGATTTGTCTATAGTAAATCTGAAATTGACATCCTCAGACACAACATAAATTATGTCGTCTGCACACAAAAACTTGTGGCTAGAAAATTCGGTACATTTTGGTAAACTATTTCTTTGCTGAATCGTGTCATAACTTTTGAGGTGGTAATTACAGAGTAAATCTATTCATAATGTATTTTAACTTTTTTACCGTTCTGGCCCCTTTATTTCAACGAAACTTCTTAACTGTTTAGCCACAACTTGACATAGCAACATTCACGGGAGCTGCTACTTTTTTTTTGTAATATCATCCCAGTTTAAGGATAATATTAAGATATTCACTGTTTATCCCCAGCATTAAGTTAGTTTTGAAAATAGTTACTCCCTGACAATGATGATTTTTAGTTTTATTGTAGGAAAGTTCGGAATCAGGAAAATGCGTAAATTACGTCATGTGCACAATTACAGTAGAATATTACCCAACTTTATCGAACTCTTGTGCTTCGAAATCAACAGTGCCCAAAAATGTTTTTCTTGATTTCAGTACACTAGCCCTAGTATAGTACTGAACAGGGATGGTGACCAAGACTCCGGATAACGTCAGACTTTTGAAAAAAGCTCATTTCAAAACTAGGATAACCGCGCATTTTATTCAAGGACTCTTTACGTGGTATTTTCAAAACATCATAACTCCTTTTTTTGAAGTCAGAATTTAAATATTTTGCCTTTTTTGAATAAAGGAAGCATGAATTAAAATCATACTTTTGCTTTATGCTATTTGGATAAAAGCGAAATTTTTGCGAGCCTTGAACAAAACGCTTAAATTTGACCTTCAAAAAGACGATCATGACAGCTTTGGACCGTCCAGGCAAATCGCCGGCCAAATTTTTTTTAACAAGCACTATGAGCCAAACAAATTCGATTTTTGTTAATGGAATGGACTAATTTTGTCGCAGAAAAAAAATGAAGGAATTCTGTTTTCCGCGGAAATTCGAGTGGTCGGTTCTTACACGGACCGCCTCTTAATTATAGTTCTATCATTGAGATTAATCGGATCAATGTAATGTTTTTTGCAATAATTACTGAACTAGCGGCTAAGAGCGATTTGCGTGGGGTGCCTTATGCGCTAGTTTGATCAGATTATTACAGATTTCCTATAAATATGGTATTTGCAGCTTATTTACTGGAAACAGCAATTTTGGTGTTGTCCGGTTGGGCCATTTGCACCCTATTTTTAATCCCCACCGTGGGGTTTTGGTATGAACGCCCGGCCCCACCATGGAGAGAATTTGTAGCTTTTCCAAAACAAAATGACAAATGTCCGACAAATACGCAAAGGGGGATGTGCACGCTTGGAATGGACTGAGCCATACTTCTGTGTCCTGCTTTTGTGCGGT